CCTCAAAATATGTCCTTTTGGGGATATGATTTTCAATTAATGTCAGAATTAATATGGTAAGAAAAACTCTAGCTAATGGCACAAAATCAGATTCTTTTTAGTCTCATATTGAGTGCCATCAACAGAAGGTACAACTGTAACATAAGGAATGGTTCCCAATATCCAGTGCTCTTCACAGTTAACTGTGCAGCTTTGTAAAAACACCCATTACATAGCCCAATGTTCAAAGAGTTTGGAACCAGGAATCTATATTTTTATTATTTCAAAAAATATTTATTTATGTATTTCATTTTAAAATTATTCAATATTGTATTAGTTTCACATGTATGGCGTAGTGGTTAATATTTTTATTATTTCAAAAAATATTTATTTATGTATTTAATTTTAAAATTATTCAATATTGTATTAGTTTCATATGTATGGCGTAGTGGTTAGACATTTACATAACGTATGAAGTGATCCCCTCATACGTCTTGTACCCTTCTGATACTATATACAGTTATTACAATATTATTGACTATATTCCTTAAGCTGTACTTTACATCTCTACGACTATTTTGTAGCTACCAATTTGTACTTCTAATCCCTTCTCTTTTTTCATCCAGCCCCTTAATACCCTTCCCATCTGGCAAGCATCAGTTTGTTTTCTGTATCTATGAGTTTGTTTCTGTTTTGTTTGTTTATTTTGTTTTTCAGATTTAGCATATAAGTGAAATCTTATTGTTTTGGGTATATATGAAGCACATGGTAACCACAAACCAAAAATCTACAAGAGATATACAAGAAATACACAGAAAGGAAAGGAATCCAAACATGAAACAGAAAGTCACAACCTATAAGATAAGAGAGCAAGGGAATAAGAAGGGGACACAGAAAGAAAAACAATCAAAACAATTAAAAAATGGCAATAATTACTTACCAATCAATACAAATTAGTTTAAGTGTAGGTAGATTGAATGCTCCAATAAAAAAAAAAGATGAATAGATAAAGAAAAGGTGGTATATAGCTATACAAAGGAATATTATTTGGCCCTTAAAAAAGAGTGAAATCTTACCACTTGTGACAATGTGGATGAATGTAGAGGGTATTATACTAAGTGGAATAAGTCAGACAGAGAAAGGAATCAGCATCTTTAAAAATGCCACAGGCGATTATGGTTTTCGCTCACAGTGGAGATTTTCTCAGTGACAGTCATTGCTTGCATGTGAAAGAGGTAGTTAGGTTAACAGGTGGCCTTACCATGGGCACTCACCAAAACAGATGCAGGCTATTAAAAATCATAGGTGGATCCACAGAAAGTCATTCCCTCACATTCTGCCTTCAGCAACCATCACTAGTAATCAAAACTTTTAAGTTAGGCTTTTGTTTTATTCAAGAGAAATTCCTGCCACATGGAAGGGTAGTTGGGGAACCCTGGAAGACCACACAATTGCTTAACCATGGCCTGATCATTTGTTTATTAGTAAGGCTAGCCAAGGGCACATCAATTGCATCCTTGATTGCCCTCTGATAGTGGGAAAAATAGTAGGCAGGCATGGTCCTGGGCCCCTTTCCCAGTAATTCCCATCTATTGGAGATTCCTACAGATGCAAACCCTCCTTTTCTGTGGACCAGGGAGCTAAACTGAGGAGCCAAACATTGAGTGAAATAAAATAATGAATCTATAGTTTCTGATTTCTCCCAATGAGCAAACGGAGACCCACAGCGTTAGACTGACCACTGGAAGCGAACTTAGATGGGGTCTTCTGCTCCAAGGTATTAACCCAGGTATTATTTTAACTGAGACTTGAAAGGGTTACAAGGGTTTAACATAGAAGAAACCCTTGATACAATTGAAATGACTAAACTCAGAAACTTCCCCCCCTGTAACACAAGTGACAAAAAACAGACAAGCAGACACAGATCAGATGAAAGTGATTTTCTCAGAGGCCATGCCTTCCTGTCTTTCTGTCTTACTAGCATATAACTAATTGTCATTTTCAAAGGAAAAAGAGAAGCGTAGTTTCTCCTAGAGAAGCAGTCTAAACTAGTGGCTAGGAGTCCAGGCTTTGGAGCAAGCCTTCCTGGATTTGAGTCCTGGCCTCACTAGCTGTGTGCTGTTCAGCATGTTACGTCATCTCTCTGTGCTTCAGGTTCATTACACCTTATACATTTGCACATGCATGCACACACCTGCCTTTAAGGCATGATACTAATCAATGATTTAATGCATGCAAACAACTTGGGAAATTGTCTGATAAATTGTAAGCACTCAATAAAAGTTGTTATTATGATCCTAATGATACAAATGTTATTAATGAGCCATGTTATTAATGAGCCATGTCATCTTTGCTGCTTGTATTTCTTCTATTACAGTGAGATACCTTGAGATATATTTGGCCATCCCTGTCCCATAGAAGGGTTTCTAAACTGAATTAATCCTACCTGTTCTAGTGATGTTTACTTTGACCTCCTCTTAAATGATAAAAATATTATGCAGTTAAAAACCTTCCTTGTGCAATCACAATGATTCCAACTTATGTTCAGCATGAAGGGACAGACAGCATGTTTGTGTAATAACCTCCCGGAACAGTTATTATTATCCACAATATTGTGGGTCATATCCCAGTTGCTTTTTAATTCATTTACCATGTGATGGCTTTGCAATCAGAAAATAATGATGGTAGACAGCAAGAAAAGTAAGTTAGTACATGCTCATATGAAAAGTGGGTAAGATTTATATTGCACTCTGTTGAAAATGGGCAGAGTACATAGTTATGAGTATGTAAAATAAATTGAAACTTTGCACTATGTTCAGCATCTAAGATGTGTTTAAAGTCTTTGAAAAAAAAAAAAGGTTAAACAGTTTCACTGTATTCTGGAGGAGAAAGTTGCTAAGATTTCTTCCCTGGTGATTTATCAGTGTCTTTCGGGGATCCCATGGATAGAGAAAATGTGTCATGGAGAGGCCCTAATCAGAAGTGGGAAGTTTATTCTTGGCACCTGAGAAGAAGACTTTGGGTGAGATCATTAAACGAGCTCTGTTAGCAAGAATGGGGACAGAGGTCATAGAGCAGCCTTCATTTTGTTACTCCCAAGACACCATCACCAGCTGAGACTCCCATCTTTGAAAGCTCTTCCTCTTTTTTTCTTAATTTATTTTGGGACCATGGATGTCTTTGAAAATCTGATAGAAATTCAAAATATTCCTCCCAGAAAATGTGTGTACGCGAGCACACACACACACACACACACACACTGCTGTATATTAATTTGTGCTTTTCATAGATGTTCTCATGTAAAACATTTCCTTCTTAATTGAGTGATTTTATATTATCTTCAGTGAACAAATCAATTAACTTTTGAAAATAGATTTGACCACTTAGTCTACTTTTAAAAAATGTGTTGTTTAAAATCCTGACTTGTAACTCTCTCAAAAGATTTTAGAGCATTCAGTTGTTGTGTTGTTTTTGTTTTTTTTCTATGATCAGCAGTTTCAAACATCTTTATAGATGTTCCTGAGACACTTAATTTCTGAGGAATTTTTATTTCTGTCTGATAGGAAAGTGCAGTAGGCATGGATGTATGTCTTCTTAGAAGTATTTTATTATAATTTTATGAGGAACTAAAAAAAAGACTGTAATGTTATTCCCATATTGGTTTATATTAAATAAACATTGATATCCCACAGAGTCTTCATCATAATTCAGACTCTAACCTCAAAATATACTGTTTTGGGAGAAATAAATGTACAAATGTACTGAGTTACTGTAGCCACAGAGGAGAAATTTTTAAAAATATGGGAGAGAAAAGCCTTTTAGAACTCACGCTCAATGGAGACATAAACAGCAATATTAATAAGTTCATCCATACATTTCTATGTCTGTACCTTATATTTTAAAGTGGGCAAGAAACTTTCTGAATATTTGATGTAAGAATTTGGCTTGAAAAAGTTTGGCAACTAATGTAAAGCTAGCCTAATAGCACCTTTTAATTCTTAAGAGTAAAATCCTTAGAAAAGTTGATAATAGTTTCTAGAAGATTGTAGTAATAATTTACCATCTTATTTTGTATTTTGATTCCAATCAACACAGACCAAGGGAAGTCAAGTTTATAATAATTTATTATGGTTGCATATCATTTGTCATATATAATAAATTATAGAAACTATAGCATCTTTATAAACTATTTAGTATACCATATTCACTTCCTAATGCTCAATGCAGTAACTGTAAGACATTTAATTAGATTATAGTTTAGCATTAGTTAGAAGATAAAAAAAAATATACATTTTTTCACAGTACTTGGAATTTCTGAAGGGCCCATTATTCCAACTTTTGTGCAACCACTCTGAAATGCATAAAAACTTCTATAAACCAGAAGGTGGCGTATGGTTTTGCTGAGCTGCTGAAGGTACTGCAGCTCCTTGACTTTGCACTTATACCCATGTGGCGTACTTTTCAGGCACTGTAATAAATTCAAATAAATAATCACTTACTGATCTCTAAAAATCTATACCAATAGACCACATTGAAGCTTGGAAACATCTTGAGAATTCAAATAAAAAATTCAGTAAACAATTGTAGCATGAAACTCTCTCTCTCCCTATTCTCCCTTCCCTCCCCCCCCCCTCCTCTTCCCCCTTCCCCAGTTTGCTTAAGGAAACAAACACACAAAAAGTTCAGGTGGAATTTAAGTCCTAGGGCCTGACAAAGAGACCCTGGCTGCAGTTCTTCCTCGGCCATCTGTTTTCTTCCGTTTCATCTCTCCTTACATCTGTCCAGACCTCTCCTGACACCAGCATCAGTCCTTTCGGGCCAGGAGAGTCTTCCAGTCCTTGCTGAAGGCAGCTCGTTCTCCACTGTCACAGCACAGGCGTGAAAGTGGTTGGAGTCCTGTCACCAGTTTGCTCTGTTCCTTTCCAGCCTCCGGAGTCCTGGCGGAGGCGAAGCTTGCAAGGAGCAACACAGCGCTGCGTGTTAGCGTCTCACAAACTCACTTGGTCTTTAAATGTCCATTCGTGGATAACGTCCTTATCCATTCTCTGCTCCTCAGTGGACTTTGATGGAATATTTCCGCAGTTTCAGAAACTGGAAAAGCTTGTCTTTCGTCCTCTTCTTCAGGGCCATCAGGGCCCGGGTTTTCTCCTCCAGATCTTGATCTATGGCCAAAATGATCTTGGCTCTCTCCTCTGCTTTCTTGTCCCCAGAGTTTTTGAAGAGCCTCTGTAGTGATTCTTCGTCGATGTTTTCAAAGATGTTGCCCACGGCTTTCTTGCGTGAGGCTGTGTCGAAGTGGTAGCCGTGGATGGACGGGCTGACTCGCAGCGAGGAGGACATGGTGCCGGCTTGGTTGCTTGGCTTTGCTCTCATAGATGGGAGGATCTTCGGGAACTCAGCGCCCAGGCTCTCCAGAGAGTCTGTAGCAAACTCATTCCAGCACTGCTATTTAAAGCATGAACAAAAGCTCCAGGCTCAAATTACACTGGTGACATCAGAGTGATCTCAAGGAAGAATAATCACAGGCAGGTTTAACAGTTGAGTTGCCAATATCCAGTTCTTGTGCAAAATGTTTCCGAAAGCTGTGTTCCCCGGATGGGGCGTGGAAGTGGGGATGTTTTGTTGTTGTTTTTTTTTGCCTCATCTGTGTCAATAGGATTATAGAGACGTGGGCTCTTCTTAAAAAAAAAAGAAAAACTGCTGAAACCAGGAAAGTGCAAAGATAAGACGCAAACCTGGGTGCCTTAAGCTCTCAAAATCTTTCCTAACAACCGAAACAAAAGTTCTGCTAACACAGGAAAGTGTTAGCAGAAGAATTCCCAGAGACGTTATGAAAGTGTACTCCAAACATCTGTGCCCTTTGGACACCTCTATCCAGGGCCACTCCTAAGCTGCTCTAAGATAGCTTAACAATTAAGGACATCCGTTTGGAATAAATAGGTCCGATTGCAGAATGGGCGTTTACCTACAAAGCGCTGACAGGACACTTGCCTGGAGCTGTGACCTTTCAGAGACTATACTCACTGAAGAAAAGTGTAAATTAATAATTACAGACAATATTCCTTAGGTTTGTGTATATATCAACAATATGTCTACTTTAAACAAGTGGGAAAGGTAACAGGTGCTTTATGTATACAGTACTCAAAAGGAATGATTTGACTTTTTTTTAATATGTATTTTGGCATCACCCAGACATAAAATGACACCTTCTTTGGAAGAATTTGAATTTGTTCTTTTCATCTTCCACAATATTCAGCCAGCCAGTGTCCCCACAGATGTATGGAGCACTTACATTCAGCCAACTGCTTTCCTCAACCTCAAAGGGCCCCAGAAACTTCTCTTTATGGACCTTCTTCCTGGTCCATGTTCTAATACTCCAAGAAGATGGGCTGGTTTTCATTTTCCTCTCATCTAGTCAAATCAGCTCTAGTGTAGGGAAGGTGCCACCCTTCATATATATTCATTCAATCATTTATTCATACACTCACTCATTTAATCAATATCTATTAAAGGTCTACCTTTACCTACAACTTTTCTAGGCATTAGGAATATAACACTAAACCAAACTAAACCAAATAAATAAAATGAAACAGCAAAAAATCCCTACCTTGCCTTAATGGAGTTTAAAATCTACCTAAATAGATAATAGAAAGATGTACGTTTATAATATAGATGATGTCAGGAAGTAACAAATGAGTAGATTTGTATAGGAGAGGAAGGGAGGGGTTAAGATTTGCATAGGATATTTAGAGCCAGCTTCTCAATGGGATATTGTGCAAGAATTCGAAAGAGGTAAGGGAGTGAGCTGTGTAGGCATCTGGAGGAAGGGTGTTGGAGGTAGAGGAAACAGCAAGTGCAGAGGTCTGAAGATAAGAGTGTCGTGGAATGTATGCAGAACATCCAGACCAGTGTGGTTGGGCCAGAGAAGAGTGGATGGAGGAGAGGAGGGGGTGAGAAGGCAGAGGCAAGAGTATAAGCTCGTAGGCTTTTTCATGAATTTAGCATTTATTTACTCTGTAAGAGATAGGCAGCCTTTGGAGAACTTGGAGCAGAGAAATTACAGGATTTTAATTATAATTAAAAAAAATAACTGACTTTTCTTTGTGGAGAATAGATTTGTAGGAAGACAATAAGGACACGGGGAGCAGAAGGACTAGTTGGGACACTTCCCAAAATGAGCCAGGCAAGAGATGATGAAGGCCTCCACTGGGGAAGTCCTTGTGCAGGCGGTAATAACTGATGAAGGTTAAGTCAGAAGGGTTGCTGAAGACTCCAGTGTGAAGAATGAAACACATACACGAGCCCAGGAGGATCTCTTCCTGAAGGATGCTTCCCTGAAGGACATTTCCAGGTGGGCTTATATTCATCTCATCAACCATGGCAGCTGATGCTTGTTCCAGGCTTTCCATGGACCAACCCTATGTTCTGCTGCCTCTGACTGTAGGTTTATTGGCATATGAAGCACACCTCTCCATCACTGAATACAAAAAGTACTTTTATGGTAATAAGGATTTTTACTGTTTTTAGTAAGTGCCAAGAAATTTACATAACCCATCTGAATTGTTGCCATACTCAAGGCTTCATCAAACTTCTCATGCTCTGCTCTTTCTTGAGCTGATTCTTAGTTTTTTATCTCCTACTAGAGGCCCAGTGCATGAAATTTGTGCACTCAGGGGGTGTCCATCTGCCTGGCCTGTACCCTCTCCAATCTGGGACCCCTTGGGGGAAGTTTGACTGCTGGTTTAGGCCCAATCCCACAGGGATTGGGCTCCTAACCGCTCGCCTGCCTGCCAGCCTGATCGCCCCCTAACCATTCCCCTGCTGGCCTGATTGACGCCTAACTGCTCCCCTGCCAACCTGATTGCACCCAACTTCCCTCACCTGCAGGCCTGGTCGCCCCCAACTGCCCTCCTCTGCAGGCCTAGTCACCCCTAACTGTCCACCCCTGCTGGCCTGGTTGCCCCCAACTGTCCCCCCGCCGGCCTGCTCACCCCACGCAGCTTGCTGTTTGTTCGTTACTGTTACTGTGATGGTGTCCCTGACAATTTGCATATTCCTCTATTATTAGTATAGATATATTGATTACTCTGAAATTTTAAATTCCAGCCTAGTTCTTTTATCTGTGATATAGACTCACTTATTTATCTAATCAATACAGATATATACAAATATGATACTAATATCTATTTAGTTATAAAAAGCAGAAGAGCAGCCATAATCTTTAATATCTCCTTTTATTTCTTCCCTTATCTAGATCTATCCTCCATACATATCTATCACTAAGGTCAGTCAATTCTACCCACAAAATATTTCTTAAATCTATTTACTTTCCATTTTCCCTGACACTATTTAAGCACGTCTCCATATGGTGGATGCTGGGATGCACAACCAAGGACTCCCTGTAAGATTTCCCCAGATGTTTGGCTGTTAGCTCCCATCATGGGTTGCCACCACTGAACAAAGTCACCCCCTGCTTCTTGGTGCAGCTGTATCTAGTGACTGATGGATAAGAGGGCACCAAAGCCTTCACCCCTTCTCCAACTCAGAGTGATCATCTACATTTCAGAGCATTCTTTGGAATCAGCTGAGACCTCCCTATTCCCAATCCTGCATCTTTCCCTTCTGCAGACATGAATCCTAAGAGCTCTCCATAATAAATGACCTTCTTGGTGATCTCCATTTTGGAGTTTGCATCCTGGAGATCCCAGTCTATGACATCCCAACTTCTTTCACCTGGACTAAGACCATTCTGTACACAGCATCCAGAGCAAAGGTTTTTAATAATCAATCTGATGAGACTAATCATGCTATTATGTTTAGGATAAGCTCCAAAATCTTAACATAGCCTTTTTTTTTTAAATCCTCACCTGAGGATATTTTCCCATTGATTTTTAAAGAGAGTGAAAGAGAGAAGGAAAGACAGAGAGAAATATCAATGTGAGAGAGAAACATCCATTGGTTGCCTCCAGCATGAGCCCCAGCCCCAGACCAAGGCCCAGGCCAGGGAGGAGCCTGCAATGCAGGTACATGCCCTTGACCAGAATTGAACCCAGGACCAGCTAGGGCTTAACATAACCTTTTTGAGCGTGACACTGCTCTGGTCACTGACTACTTCTGTAGCATCCTAATTTGCCACTCTTTCTCCATACCTATATGTCTTCCATTTCCTTGAATGTACCATGATCATTCCTCTCCTGGGTATTTGCATATATTTTTCTTTTTCTGGAATGTTCTCTACTTCTTATCTCAGCTAGGTAACTTTTATTTACTCATAAAATGTCAACTAAAAGCTACTTGCTCAGAGGACTTCCCTGATCCTTCTAGACTAGATCGAGTCTCCTTGCCAACATACCATTTACTAGGTCTTAGTAGCACTTATTACAGATTTCAAACATACATTTATATTTATGATTACTTAAAATCTGTCTCCACCAAGAGTAGGTATCAGATCTACTTTTCTCATAAATGTGTCTAAAGCTCTGAATCACTTAAATGTTTCATAATAGTGTTAAGTAGCAATGTATATGATTCTATTTAATTCTCATAGCAACCTATAAGGTTGGAACTCCTATAATCCTCATGTTACAGATAAGAAATTTGAAGCAATGACAGTTTACTCCCTAAAATGTCCATTTTCTAATACCTGGAATAAACCTATAAAATAGGCAAGAAGGAACCTTATACTGCAAAAGGAACTTATGGGGCAAAGGAATTTTACAGGTGTAAATAAGTTAAAAATATGAGATGCGAAGATTATCTTGGCTTATCTGTTTTGGCCCATATAACATAAGAGTCCTTATAAGAGGAAGGCAGGAAGTCAGCAGGGAAAGAGGGTGCTCAACTGCTGGATTTAAAAATGAAGGAAGAAGCCAAAAGCCAAGGAATAAAGGCAACCTAGAGGCTAGAAAAGGCAAAGAAACAAATTCTCCCATTGATCCTTCAGAAGAAACATATCACTGCAGACCCTTTTATACATCTGGCTTCCTGAACTGTAAGATAATGAATTGTGTTGTTTTAAGCCACTAAGTTTGTGGCCATTTGCTACACCGCCAATAAGAACCTAAAGCACTCTACAAATCCTTCAGCTACAATAAGACAACTTGAACCAAGGACTATCTGATTCCAAAGCCCATGATTTTAAACTCTATGCGGTATTGCTCTCAAATCAACTGCAAGCTCTATTTTTCAAAAAGTCTGAATAATCCTTCTACATGTCATTGAGCAGCTCTCCGTGAGTACTGCCTAAATGACTTCAGATGAATTAGAGAGATTATGGAACTTCAAAATTGTTTAGAGGGCAAGACCACCCACAGGAAAAGAATGTTTGTTTCTGTTTCCCAGAAATGCAACATAAACCCTAAGGTTATGATTTGCGGATGCTCTTTGCCAAAGGTGACGCCACATGTGCTTGAAAAGCATTTAATTGCTGTCACTCTATTCTTTCCCTTCTTTGTACACATATTTCCAGTGAAGAATGTGGACAACAGGATCTAAAAGACTTCTAGAAGAATTCACAAATTGCATGTAGACAGGATCATATCAAAAAAGGCACCTTATAGAGTTTTTGCTTTTCTGTAGTAAAGACAGAAAATAATGAAGGCTGTTCAAAAGAGGCAGCTTCTGGGTATTTTCTTCTGGGCACTGGTTTTCAAAAAGTATTGTTTCATTACACAAAGAGGTTGACTGTCTTCCAGTAGTAAATGTGCTTGGTTAGGTTTGTGTCTGATGAATAGATTTGAGAAAACAAAGGGAAGGAAGAGAACAAACATTTATTAACTGACTTGTAAACTTAATTTTCATCATCAACTATCTAAATTACTCTCACAACTATACTGGAGATAGATAACATTG